TGACGCAATTGTTCAGACCCCACCGGGCGTATGCACAAACATACTTCGACGACATCTTTGTCTACAATCGTGCGGGACACGGGAGGACAGATGAGGAAAATCACATCGCCAATTTGAGAGCGGTGCTCGAGTGCATGCGCCCGAATAAGCTGTATGCTAATGCTGATAACTGCATCTTCAGCGCGGAATAGATTCCCTTTTAGAGTGCTTTATTGGGAAGCGTGGCCTTCGGGCGGATCCTGCTAAGGTCAAGGCCACTGTAGACTGGCCGGCTCCAAAGATCCAAAAGGACTTGCGCAAGTGGCTTGGCCTCGCCCCGGGCGACGGATTCTTCGACGAGAACTATAAATCAAATATTCCTTTTCCAGCGTGGAAAGAAGAGGAGGATGAGATGCGCCAATGGTGTGAAGTGAGCCCAGCTCAAACGTTGCGGATATCATGGCCGTTTTCCGACTTCTCGACTTCCGGGGGAAGTAATATTGCTACCAATCGCCTCAGTGAGGCAAAATAACAGCAGATGGACGCTGCCCACAGGGTGGCTCTCATGCGCTCGTATCCACGATTGGTCTCATTCCCTCGTGTAGAGTACGGCTTCTGCTCGGCGGATCCCGCTACTGAAGAGAAAGACGCAATTACTCGATCGTAAGGCGTCTACGTAGTCAGGCCCCCGGCCACTACACCAGCTGAGTTTGACCGGCGAAACGCTCTGCGAGCTCGCTTCTTGGCAGATCAGGAAATTCCAATGGGTCGGAACCGCGCTAGACTTCGAGATCAATGAGGAAGCGCTCCTGTACCCACAATGCAATTTCTGTGGTGCTAGCCCCTGGCGAAACCGATGCAGATGATAAGATGTCTTAGAGCGATGGGTGCAGCAGCACCAGAAACTTTCCTCGCTGTCTAACTTACAGTGGAGCCACAAGGAAGTGGACGTGCGCGTAGACCACCATCTTAGATTTGAGTTTGCAAACCCAAGGCGCAACCCTGACATCCTGCGTATTGCCGCCCTGCGACACATGGAATCATCCATCACGCTTCCGCGAGCTCTGTGGTTTCTCACACGGGTGATTCTACGACCACAGCAGCTCAAGGCCATAGCTTGAGCTCGGCTAATGCCCCCCCCGGCTTCCCAAACTACTGCCGAAAAGCGTGGGGCGCACGACGACGCAAAGCGTCACGAATTTTCTGATCATAAGCGTCCACGACGTCTGGGCAGTCCTGTCGAAGCGGCACCTCAAACTTCCACGAGTTCTCGGAGTTTGAGTATCCCCACCACTTCACAAGATATTGGGCTCGACCCTGTCGACGACTACAAGGCGTCCCACCTAATAATGGACACCACCAACTCAGAAGAGTCGGTGGCGGATGATGACGACGTGTTCGATCATCGTCAGAAGACTCGCGATGCTCTTCGAGCTTTGGAGGACAAAGTCCGTTGTCATCGGCACTCTGCTAGACATCTTACCGAGGTCACCTACCGCTGTGCGGAGAACTCGAGAGCCTAGAGCACTTTGTGCACCAGCTGCTTCATGTTGAGGATTATCGTGCACTGTCGGAGCGGCACCTAGCCGTCAAGCAGACGAATACGTCACTTCGGAGCACTTTCCGCTGTTGGAAACGGGAGTTGTTGCACTCCGCGCTCAAAACCAGCTGCTGTTTCAGCTTCTGAGCGGCCGAGCGCCTTTGATCGCCGCCCCGGCGCAAACACTTCCGCGTTCACCTGCGCCGGATTCCGGTACGGCTTAAGCTAGCCCTCATAAAAAACCGGGTGGGAGCGCATCCTTCTCGGAATGTTCGGCGGATACGCTATGCCTCGCTTGGCCATGACGTTTAGAAGTCCAATAAACCGTGAGCGGAGCTTCGTCTTAAAGACAGCAGAAATTACATGCATTTAGCATTTAACAAAACCAGGTCTCCGACCTCATTGTTTTCCACATTTCTTCTGCCTCTTCCGTATAAAAATACTTTCTGCATTTCTTCGCTTTCACCCATCGCATCGCGAACGTGTCGTAGGACACTCAGTCTGGTAGACAGGACGTCATCGGCTTCTTTATGAACAGTGAGGGGGCTGGCATCAGCTAGCCGTTCGGCTATTCCTCCTCATCAAGCCCTGAGCCATGGGATGGTGGCGTCAGCGGGACGCGAGTATTAACAAGCCCGTTTACGTAGAACGACATATAGCCTGTAGACGGATGCACTGCAATGTTCGGAGCAAACTCAACGAGCGGCAACATAGCGCTCCAACGCTTCGGCGTCTCAGCGCAGACGCTGCGAAGAAGGTCGTCGACGACGCGATTCACGCGCTGACTTTGACCATCGGTCTGCGGATGGTCCGCTGTTGACATAGGCAACTTGGTTGCCACTTGGTACCCAGCGGGCTTCTCATTTCAGAGTTTAGTTGATCTTGATAAATACCAATATTCTAGCGCGTATAGAATATACCATTTGTGCCAAGTTTAAGTGCACAAGATTACAGAATTGGCCCCGTTACAAATGATCAGGAGACGAGTTCGCAGTAGCCGATTGCCCGCCTAAGCGCTGCGCGCGTGAGAACGACTATCGTCTTCTCTACTTCGGCAACGCAGCATTAGGGACAACAGTGGCAACAGCAGTTGTTACAATGGGTTGACCACGCGCCACATCGACTTGGTCAGAAATACGCCGCGCATGGAGTGGCTCCAGATCGTGCAGTTGTCCTAGCAAACTTTTCGATCGATCCCTCGTCGTGGCATCATGAGCAGAGATCTCATTACTTGAGCTCATGAACTGTCAAACGATAGGACAGTTGTAAGGAGCTTCGTAAAAGCAAACACTTTGAAGAGTCATCGAAGCGGATAGCACCGAAGTGAAGACATTTGTGTGTGGGAAGGAAAATTTGAAATGATTTAGTAAGTGGGCTTATTCGGTCACTGCGTACAATTTCTTAACTGTGGCATCACTGACTTTTGAAATGATTTAGTAAGTGGGCTTATTCGGTCACTGCGTACAATTTCTTAACTGTGGCATCACTGACTTTTTACCGCGAGTTTATGTTGGACTGACATGAAGAAAACCGGGCTTCTCACGCTATACGGATTATCCTCAATACTTTGAGCGCGCAAGTATATACCGAGAGCTGCCATTGACTACACACGGCGCGGTCCCGTTAGTCCTTCGTCATAATATCCGCCTATCCGTCAGCAAAATCACTGTTTGGTAGGCGCTTGAGTTCACCACAAATGTGGTTAATGTGCAGGACCCGACCATGATTTATCAGGCATATACAACTGGCTGTTTTCCATGATATTGAGCCCGGATTTGTCTTGTCCATCGCTGCAGCCAAAATCTGGCAGAGTAGACGTTGTACCCACTTGTCCTCCTAAGTAGCCTAGGCTCTACATACCACTTAGAGCCGTATATATTCCTGGTAGATTATTATAATATGAGAGCGAGCTCACTGTCACTGGTTTGCACGTTGTATTCATGCTCATATGACCAAGATTATCAACAAGCTTCACACTGTATAGCTGAATTAATGAGTTGAGGATTTGCTTTTTCTCGCGCGGAAGCTTTGCTAAAAAGGGAATCGAAAATTGAGCTTGCCTGTGACGCATCAGCCTTTACCATAGGATCTGCTTTGATTCCTACAGAGTTTGATATGGCGATACAACTTCTGTGAATAGGTGTCAATTTGACGGCAGGTAGCCTATACCAGTGACGACCTCGAAGTGCTGCGCAAGCTCGATGGATACATTGATATACTAAGAAAAATCCTGCAAAAAAGACACAGCATGAGCGAATAAAAAATTTAACTGCGCTGATGTTTTTATGTGCAGTTTTCTGTCCAACATCAAGTGCGCTGAAACCACTGAACGTTGTTGGCAGCTGCGATAAAACGCCACCCGCTTAAAATATGGGAGTCGTGTTACAGCCTTTAGAGCCCATTTGAAGAGACGAAGATGTCATCATTCTAATTAGGCATAGAACAACGATCACCAATGTTCTTTGACTTTCAAAAGTCCTTTGATCGCGTCAACAAGCACATTCTTTCGCAATCACAATATTCATTAGTAGATACCACTTGTAACTACGGTTCTAGGCATCACTAACGTACAGAATCCTGTCAAAGACAACTTACGCCACCCTTTACTTTCATTAGCTAGTAGAGGTAATTTCATGTTGATGCAATGGTGTCTTAAGGACATTATCGTGCATCCGTGAAAAATGTAATCAGCGTCACCTCTTCAATGGATCTCAATCGGCTAATCGTATTTTCTACAGCGGTGGACATGTTTAATACGATTTAAAGCACAATGACAGCAAATGTAACACAAAAGTCGAATAAGAAATCTGTAAAGTAGTAAATAAGACAGTATTAATTACTAAACAGTATGATCTTACGACTTATGCGTTACACTTACTATCATTTTAAGCTGTTAGTAACGTGGTGATAGTTTGCATTCATCTACACTGGGAACGACCTTCTTTCCCCAAGTCGGGAATCGCTTCAACCTTCAAAACTCAACACATTTTACTATTCCTGGCAAATTCAAATCCGAGATGCATGTGGGTTGTCAGCCCACAGCAAGTAATAAATTATGTATCGATGATCCTGAAACAATAACACATCAAATCCAAAGCAGACTATTATCAGTAAATGGATCCA